CGAGGCCAGCAATGAGTCCTCTGAAAAGTAACTGAAAGGGAGGAGAATTATGAGGTCTTCAGATGCTCAGAGTTGGCAGGATGAAAAGGACCTCAGCTGGTCTGTCAAGTAGTAGGGTCTGTTGATTAAGGGAGCTATTTACCCATGAAGGGTTTCCTGAGATCCTACATGGGTCAGGCACTGTTTTAGGTGCCTGGGAGGCCACAGGAGGGACCAGAGAGATAGTCCCTGACCTCAAGGAGACTGCATTTCAGTGATGAGCATATACAGGGAGGTGGTGGTAAGTTCTAGAAAAATAGATCATCGGAAGGAGGATGCATGATGGGAGGGGATACACTTTCAGGCAGTGCTCCCAGAAGGCCAAGATCTGACCAGTGCCTGAGGGGACCATGGAGCAATGTGGGAGAAGGGCCTTCCAGGCACAGGGGACACCGAGAGAACACCTCAAAGGAAGGACCACGCCCGTGCTGTTCCAGAAACTGCAAAGGGTCCGCAACGCAGAAACAAAGCTATGGGCTGACGGTGAGGAAGGAGAAGACACTGCATGTTTGAGAAAGATGTTATGCAGGACTCACCTGTGGCCCTGGAGATTGCTTGAAGAATTGGGAATTTTCTAGAACAATTCTCAAGAGAGGTCCCAGAAGGAGCTGCAGAAATGAGGTGTCCATCACATGAGGAGGGCAGGACACGGTCGGGGATCCTTCTATGTTTCAACCAGTCCTCAGTCTCAGGACTGAAGATTCTGTGATGGGGGATGCTCAAGGGCTAACAGTGCCATGGGTGGTCACGCCTCTCCCTCCTAAAGGAAGCAGAGGTGCAGAAGAGGACTTTTCCCCAAGTCACCGTGAAACCGAACCGCAGCAGAAAAACAGCTGCCAGGAAGGATGCTCCCCAATGTGACAGATGACACAGAGATCTTTATTGAGGAAGCCTAAGAATTGGAAGGAGGCTAGCAAGGGAAACAGGGCACTGCTTTTCCTCTGGACAGAGGAAGGACAGTCTCAGGAATCATGCTTCTTTCCGGAACGCGTAAGCGTGGTGTTAAGGAGCCGTTTCCAGAGTCACTCTTTCACCAGTGTGCACTGGTTAAACAAGGAGGTGAGACCCAGAAGACTCACAGCCTAACCTGACGTACAGCTGCGAAGGATATGATAAAAGGTGAGACCTTTTTAAAAGTAAATGAACATATTCCACCATATTTGTACTCTCCCAAGGAGCTTCCTTAACAAGCTAAGCTCTTATTCCAAATATGTTGTGAATATCTGAAATTTATTTTGACCTGAACTTATAACTGCTGTTTGCTCTTCCAGGTGTTCAAAAATCACACCTGAAAGACTCGTTGGGCAGCCTGACCAAACTTAATTGGGTGTGACTCCAATCTGAGTCTTGGCTGTTTCCAAACACCAAATTCCCACACAAGAGATGATCTGCCACCTCTGAGCAAACTTAAAAAGCTCCAGCACAGGCTCAGAAGGTCACATGAAGGTGGAGTTCACCATACGTTCTGAGCACAGGACAGTCCTGAGAAAACGGGGACCACTGTGGAAGGGACAATGCTTGTTGTGATAGGTAACTTTGGAATGTCTATTTAAATAAAAAAAAAACAACTTTATGACTTTACAGGTCAATTTTTAACTTATGAAGCCAAAAGAATAACACCCTCAAGAGTTACTTGAAAGATTTTCCAAAAAAAAAAAAAAATTTTTTTTTATTTTCATAAATTAACACACACAACAGTGGGAATTTTAGAGTCACAAACTACCAAACAGAAAAGGGACTGCAGGGGCATCAGGTTTGCCAATGTTACCAAAAATGTACAAATTTCACTCAACTACTGACCATGATAATATATAAACACTTCAGGCAGCGATTTTCCGGCCCAGAACAGCCCAAGGAGATGCTGAGGCCTCTCACCAAGAATTAAAATCTGATTCAGCACCAGAAAGGGGTTCGTGAAGACACACAGTGAACAGGCATTGAACCCGAGGGTTTGCTGTGCTGGGTGGCCAGCGGGACAGGGACCCTCACTTCGCCATCAAAATAAATGGACTTTGCTGCTTGATTTGTGGCTAGGTGGTCATACTAACCTTTGATTTTAGTAAAATTAATCCTTCCTTTCCAGTCAGCTTTTTACTTCTATGAGAAGTTCAGCTGTGGTGAGGAGCCCTTCTCTTGCATGAGTCCAGGAAAGGGCATGCTGCACCTCTGGCCAATAACTGAGACTCTGGATACAGCTGCCCACAGTACGGTGTTCAGGGGTCCTTTCCATGATTCGGGGAAAAGCTTATGGAAACAAAACATAACAAGGGAATTCAAGAAAGCACCAACTGCATACTCTCCCCCCAGGGGATGGGAGAAAAGTACCGCTGCCTAAAAGTTGGACTTTCGCGGACTTTAATGTACACGGTATTGGTGATGAGATGAAATCCTAGCCTGGAGACAGAGCACTGGCTGTTTCCGTCCTGGGTTGGCTGCCCGGCCGCACCCTCTGCTGCTCTCAGCCTGGCGGGTGGGGAGGATCGTATGTGGGGTGGGGTCTAGAATTCACCTTAGGTTGGCTCTGGTGCCCGCGCAAAAGACCCTTTCAGGCAAAATTGTGACAGACTGTCATGATTTTCACAGCTCTGGGGGAGCGCTGAGTTTTGGGACTCACAGCGCGAGTTTCTGAGCTCTCCGGGCTCCAAGTAAGGCAATCGCTACATGTCTCTCCACTCTCCCTCCCGCAGCTGCCGCTCCCCGAGGAAGGTCAGTGAGAAAACACAGACATGATCTGCTGTAACGCGATGAGGTGCGTTTAAACGAACAGAGAAACGAAGCTGGAAAGGAAACCAAAAGACAGAAGGAGAGGAAGGGGGGGAAGGGCAAACATAGCTCAAAACTGACGGATGGGAAACAAAAACACAGTTGAAAACTTCAGTGAAAAGCTGATTGGACCTGAGATTTCTCCTCTTTCCCATATTAAAAACACTTAATCTCTTGAGCTTAAAGTCAAATTAGTTATTATTAACCACACTCCCTATCGCTTGGGGTGGGAAGCCTCCCGTTCTTGGAAACTGCACCCACTCCCAAGCCAGCAGCAGACTGCCCGTGACTCCGGGCAGGGGGTGGCCCGCAGCCGCCCGGGGTCCCCGACAGGAGCAGGCACCTCGGGCTCTGAGGACCATGGGTGGTGCTGCAGCTGGCTAGGCTGACAGTAAACATGGAGGTTAAGACAGGTGGGGCTGAGCTAAAATCCTATGTGGCAACTTCAGGTGAGCAATTTCAAGTTTGCTATGGGGGCCCTTTCTTCACTTCGAAATAAGGAAGGGCTGGGGCCAGAGGCAGGCCAAGAACACAGGGAGGGGTTGGCCTCAGAGAGCTTTCTCCTGCATTCCCAGGACAAGGAGGGCCCCCAGTTTCCACTTTCTCCAAGCCTCCCTTCCCAGAAGCCAATGTTCCAAATCACCACTTCTGGCCCCTCCAAGTGCCACGCTTGCCCCAGGTGAACCGGAAACTGCATCTCCACAAGGCTGGTGACGGCACAGCTGCACCCACAACTTCAGTCTGCAGGATGACGTGGTTGCCAAGGTGCTGACTTGTCTACACTGGCAATGGAGCTGGTGAGCAGGGCTCAGCTGATCTGCTAGGAGTTTGCAAGCCGTCCAGCAGGAGCTCCCTAAAAATATCCACATGAGCACAGACTCATCCCACTCTTTTAAGCAAAAACACAGCGAGAAGCCTTTGTGCCTAAGGACCCTGTCCCAGGAAGGGAGAGGTACCGAGGTGAGACACAGGTCGTGTCTACAGTCTGGGCAAAGCAGACGCACAGCAGCGGAATCTGGTTCGCATCACTCAGAGCCAGTGTGGAAGCCAGGCTCTCCTCTGATGCCACTCAGCCTTAGAAGCCACATGGATGCCTGGGCGTATTTCATTTCCTAAACGCTATGTCTGAGGCTCGGGGCCTGCAAGACGGGAGTGGCACTTTGTTTTCCTTGCATTGTCAGTTTTTCTGCTCCAGTGTGGCACCGATGGTCAACCTGCAAAGGAAAGGCACGTAGAGACCCCCTACCCCTACCCACTAACAAACGGGGACACTGAAGGAACCCAGGAGACATGGTCCCCAGAGCCTGACCGTTTCCGGCGGCGCTGCTCCTCGGAGGATGGAGGAGGGGACCAGTGTCCTGAGGTGAGGAGGGGGCTGAGCATCCCTCCCACCAGCAAGGAATGTGAATTCTCTGCACTCGTCTTGAGAGTGAGTAAGCGAGACAGTGAGGGAGACAGCAAGTGAGAGAGAGAACACAAGGGAAGGAGAAGGGGAAGCAGGGGAGGGCACACGACCAGTAAGTGGAGAAGGAAGGAAACCTCAGGCCCTCCGACTCCCACTGCGCACCCTTCTGAGCCTTCTGCCCACAGACTGCCACAAAGCCCAGCCAGCTCTGTTCGGCATTCTACGAATTTCCAGTAGGTTTGACACAGGAGCCCAGAGTACAATGAGGTGCCTGAGGTGGGGCTGGCCATGGAACTGTGACCCCGCCTCCTCTCCCCACATGTGGAGCAGGCTGCTCCGACAGCTGCGCCCACCCCTGCCACGGACCACTATGCAGGTGAACCCACCGAGACCACCCCCATCCTTTGGACTTTTTAAACAACTCGGAGAGAGACCTGCTCTTACTTCTGCCGTTAAAATAAACACATCTACTTCACGGGCAAGAATGAGAACCCAGGTGAAAATGGAGCTCCCTCTAATGCATTCTGTGAGGAGCTGGAGGTGGGGAAGGGGCTGCTGGAAATGCGTGAGCTGGAAAGAGGCCCTCTGCTCACACCCTGTGCACTGACAAACTGGGTCAGATGCCTGTTGTGTGTTCTGAAGACGTGTATTGTCTCTCTCCTTGATGTCTTAAAAAAATTGTTTTAAAATCACATTTAAAGGCTCCAAACATGCAGCAATAATACAAAAAAAAAAAGAAAAAAAATAAAACAAATGAAAATAATCAACACCACAACATTAAAAAGTGCAACTTACTTCGAAGGGGGCCTGGACGGGCTCCTCTGGCACTAGTGACCCACAGTCACAGAGGGGAGAAAATGATGGGGAAAAGCACATGGACACACACGCACACGGACACACACGCTCCCGGTTCTGGACAGAGGGACTCAAAGGATTAGAAAACACAACAGCTCATCTTTCCTCAGCTACTGAAGTGAGCCAGCGAGACCACGCGGGACAGGACGCCAGGTCCCCCTCCCTGGGCCACGTCTCTAAATAATCTTGGTCTAGCACCACCGTAAACAGCGCAGAACCTTTGCATGGACGTGCAAACACGGAGTCCTTGGAATCCTAGTGTTACTGAAGGGATGCTGCGTCTTCCTCCTGCGGACAGCAGAGTGGGGAGAGGAGGCCGATGCTGTTCAGGACCGTTTCCAGGAGAAAGGGAGCGTTCCTGAGGTTCTAGACTCAGCAGTACAAGCTCGAGGACCCTCCTTCACCAGCCCCTAGAAAGGCCGCTCTCGGAAACAGGTGAGAATCGTAGACTGCATGTGAGTGGTCTGGGCAGTAGGGCTAGACTAGGCAACCTCGTCCAAGGAGGCCCAGAAGGTCCAGAACTGAGACCTCCTCAGCCCGAATTGCTTCTCAACAACTGGGTGACGGCTCCTGCTCCTCTTCCTTGGCAAAGAAGGTCTCCAGCTCCATGAGCTTCTGAATCAAAAGCGCATCCAGCTCTCGACTCTGCAGCGCCGCCTTCTGGGCCCTGGTGAAGCTGCCCGCCACCTTGACCTTACCACGTGCCCGCCGCTTCCGCGGGACTGTGAAATCCTGAAACTCTAGAACGCGCTTCCTCTTCTGCTGGCTGATTGAGATGAGCGTACCATTTCGTTCCTTGGGTTCCTCAAAGATGGTCTCTAGACACCTAAGGGTGGAGCACAAAACAGAGTCACCGATATGAGGATTCTTGTGCCATCAGCCCCCTAGCCCGACTCAGCTGTTTCCTCTGGCTTGCAGCTATTTTTTTTGATGAAAAAACACAAATGAATGAATACACACTACAAGCACATGGTGAAGAAACGAAAACTGGACAAAAGGGTAAAGAATTAAAGTGAGGTGAACCCCCCCATGGGCAACAGCAGCAAGAGTGTTTGGTGTGTCCTCCCAAAGCCACGTACAGACACACGTCTGTAAGCAGGTGTGCACCACCAGAGGGCAGCCCCTCTCTGTGACGGGCCGGGGGCAAATATTTTAAAATATTAAAAATACTTTATTTATAAATATATAAAAAATATTAAAATATTAATGAGCCACACAGGTCTCTGCAACAGTCTTTTCAAAAACAAAAAACAAAACACACAAAAAAACCTTTAAAAAGATAGGAATCATTCCTAGCTCATAGGCCGGGAAATAAAGGGAAGAAAACGGTTGCTGGCTGGATCTGGCCTGGGGTCTGCTGACCGGCGACATCTACGCGACGCTCTGGTTTTTCCCTTACTCAAGTGATAGCAGAGGACACGCACTGTCCTGTACACTGTGCCTCTCTGACCTCTTGGTAACCTTTAAGCCTGTCCCACCCAGGTACACGGGTATCTGATTCATTCTTTTAAATGGCTCTGCAGTGTATCCCATTATAAGGATGGACTGTAATTTAATCAGAACCTGATTCACGGATATTTTAAGTTGTTTCCAATCCTTCCCTGACATTTAGCGACGCTGCAAGGAGCAGCCTTGTATTGTACAAACGCCTCCAAGCGAATGCTCACCTTGCAGGATAAATCTCGCCTGCTACGTCCTAGACACAACGGGAACTGAATAAATGTTCAATGACTTGAACTGAAGTTAGACCCAATGGTAGCCCAGTGACTCTCTTTCTGTTAGGGTTTGGAGTCATATCCAAAGACCCAATGAGTATCAGTTCTGAAGACAGCGGCCTATTTGCTAAAAACGCAAGCCCAAACTGAGAGACGACCTAACGTGACACATTTCTTTCCCTTCCTACCACCGACCCCACATCGAGTGTGGGGAACTAAAAATCTCAGTTCTAGTTGTGGTCAAGACCTGATGTCAGAAGAGCTGAACATGAAACTCTTCCTGTGGTGAAAGGACTGGAGATTTGCACTGGTCCTTTCAGGAGCCCTCCCCACCCACCCCTTCCTGCCTGCTTCTACCCACCTGTTTGCAGGAGGAGATTTATAGTTCTTATTGGTATATATTTCTTCTAAACTAAACTCCTTTTTCTTTAACCTGAAAAGAGAAAAAAATAAGTAAGTAAATAAGGTTTCCCAACTCTGCCTTTACCTTCTTTCCCTTTCAACCTTCCTGTGAGGAGCTTTACGCGTGCCCCATGCAGACGCGCAGTGGACTTTCTGGTCTGGGCTGCCCATCCTCGGCTCTGTGCCTGTTAGCCCAGTTTTATTTACTGGGAATGATATCACTGGGTTTGACCTGTTATTTTACAGCTTCTTCTTGTCCTACTTCTCTTCTTTTCCTTGACTGTCCTCTCTCTTATCCTCCTCTCCTGGCTTGAAAACTACACACGATTCTGCTCGTCTGGCGGCTGGCAAGAATTTGAATGAGCATATTTACCTTAGAAACCAAAGTGCATCGGTACTTCTACCCTCTTCCCAAACAACACAAGGTCGCTGGAACTTCTAAGTCTGATCAATACCATCCCAATTTATAGTAGTACAGTATAGTATAGTAGTGTTCTATTGCATCTTATTCTGTCATTTTTTGAAGAAACCAGGCCGTTTGGTCTGTGGCTTCCCCAGTCTAGATCTTGATAACATCCACAGAGTGTCAATTAACATGTTCCTCTGCCCCAAACGTGTGGGGCACGCTCTACGTACCTCCTATAGGCTGGTAACTAGGTAGATACAAGTGAGTCAGGTGTTCGGGTCTTCTGATGGGCAGACTTTTAGATGGTGGTGTATACTCCCTTCCCTCATGAGGGCCGTGATACCCGGCTGTCACCCTTTCTGTGTGTTAGCAGTCACTGACAAGTATTGAATATATTTATTAGTTCATCAGGGTTGCACATGGTGACAGTCTACCATTCTTTCAGTAGAATTCTTCCACCTAAAGAAAGCTTCAGGCTCGTCCACAAACCAGGAGGAACCGTTTGTGTAGGAAAAGCAGGAGGTATGCTTCGTTCTTTCCCTTTGTTTAACAGTTTCCAAAACAAGGAATTGCTTGTATTTTGAAGATTTTTGTGTCTGTTATTTATAGTTCCCTGGCTTCTCTTAAGATCATCTTTATCTTTGGAACCCTGCAGTTTTCTTAAGACACAGTTAGGTATGAAATCCTTTCCACTGATTCTGCTTGGGATTAGAATCTTTCACCAGCCTTCACCGTCCCCCTTCTCCTCCTCCTCCTGGAACTCTGCTTAGATGTCTGCTAGATCCTTTAAATTGTCTCCATACCTCTCACCCTCCCTTTCTATATTTCCCATCTTTTTTTGTTTCTGTGCTTCATAGCGGACATTTGTTCAGGCATGTTTTCCATTTCTTTAGTTCTACTGAGCTCTGTTTAATCTGCTGTTAAACTCATCTACCGTGGTTTTATTCTGATCACTCTATTTCACATATTTAAGAAATTTTCTCTGGTTACGTTACAAATCCACTTGGTCAGTTTCAAGTCTTTTGATCTTTTATTCAATCCATTTTTATTTCCCTAAACATATAAAACATACTAAATTATATTCTTCTCCAATAATCCCAGTATCAGGGGTCGTCTCAGATTTGAGTCGTCGTTAGGTCCACTGGCACTCAGGCACGAAACCCTTGTTTCCCTCCATGCTTCGAAGTTTACTGTGAATTGTTTTACATCCCCTCCCTTAACTTTTATTTACGACCAGATTGGGAAGTGGATTTCTTGAAATGATATATTTGTTTCTGTCAGGAGCCTGAGGGAACTACAAACCAGGGACCACTGCAAACTGAATTCTCAGCCTAAAGTTTTTTTCAGTCTGCCCAGGAGGCATGGATTCAGGCTGCAAATCCAGGAGAGGGGCAGCTTGTGGCTATAAATGCTCAAAGGTGAGTTCTCTTCCTCTGCACAGGGACTGGATTTGGGGAAGGTGGTTTTCTTTGTTGTCCCCCAGGTGGGAGACAAATATATATATGTATATGCACGCCTGGGACATTGTGCTGTATACCAGAGATTGACATATGGTAACTGACTGTACTTCAATTTTTAAAAAATGGCTTCTTGGTTCTGAGTTAGAACAAACCTATAAATTTATAAGGCCAGAGACAAAACATCAGGCATTTCTCAAAATCTGTTTTTGAGAAACGATGTCTCTTACTTCCATGACTTCAGAAATGGTTTATATAAAACCAGAAGTCTTAAGAATTTTTACAGACATACCTTGTAGACGTGGTGGGTTTTGACTCCAGACCCCCAGAATAAAGCGATTCTCACAATAAAGCAAGTCACACAAAATGTCTGCTTTCCGGGTGTGTATGAAAGTTATGTTTACACTATACTGTAGTCTATTAACTGTGCAAGATTATGTCTAAAAAACAATGTAAATAGTCTTCATTAAAAAATACTTTCTTACTAAAAAATGCTAACCATCATCAAGTAATTTTTTTTTTTGCTGGTGGAGGGTTCTGCCTCAATATTGATGCTTGCTGACTGATCAGGGTGGTGGCAGTTTAAGGCTGAGGTGACTGTGGCAATTTCTTAAAACAGACAACAACTTTTACAAAACCACATGGGAAAAGTAGAAGAAGGTCGATTATGAGCACAGCAACAGTTAACTACTGCATCTGTGTTGTGTGAAGCAGTGAAACAGATACAGAGCACAGTCTTTCCTCCGTTGGACTGTACAGCAATCTCAAGTGTCGGGAATTCTTGTTCACATTTTACACACAAGTCCTTCAAGCTCACGAAGTTAAATAACTCGCCTTGGGTTACTTGAGGGATACTCTCAGGCTCCCATTTGCTGATGAGGAATGAAGGCGTGAAATCCACAAGAAACCATACCTCTGGAGATCTTTTTAAAAATGTTTATATTTTCATAGTGTCTGTGTAATACACATCAATCCACAACTGGAATCATGTCAAATACATAATTTGGAATCACACCTAATACATAATTCAGTCATCTGATCTTCTTTCCACTTCACTTTATGGGGATCAGCAAAATCATCTCAGTTGTAAAAAATAAATTCAAATTTTTAAAGGCTATAATGTAGACCAAAATGTGGATCTGGCATTTTCTTGAAGAAAAAAAAAAAAAAAGACACTAAACTTCTTTCCCTTGGGACATTTAGGTCCCTTCCCAGTTTTGTGCACAGGGTGCTGGGAGCTTGGGCCGTGGGGTGAAACCTGTGTGAGACAGGAACCCCCTGTGGCAATGACGGATGCTGCGGCCTAACAGGGGCTTCTTCTGAGCCACTGAGCCCAGGCAGCCTCACCTAACCTGGGGACCACAGCAGTGCCTGCCTCCCAGCACCGCAGAGGACGGCCTGGGATTGTGCACATGAAGGGACAGCACAATACCTGACACAGAGATCGATAAAAATGCCTGAGAACGCCTGCAGCTACCCGTACACGTGAATCTCTGGCCACACTACCAACGGATTCTTTTGGATAAACTCCTAGATGTGTAAAAAATAGCCCAGAGTATATAATCATCCAAAAGGTCATCACATTTTGCCCAAGTCTCCCAAAAGGCGCACCCACGTGGGAGGGAGGACGAGCTCACCTTTTGGGTCGAGGAAGGCCCATGGGGGTGAGGTTAGGGTCTGGCTTAGGAATGGTTTTCCGGATGCGAATCTGTGAGACTTTCTTTGGCCTCTTCTCTGGCTCCGCCTATTTTTAAGGGTAAGAAGAAAGACGGTCAGGTTGTCAGACTTTCTAAATATATAAAGGCCCTTTTCTTGATACTCAAGACACTGCTTCCTCAGTGTGCAGATGACGTCAGTGAGCAGTGGGTGACCCAGCGTCCCCTCCTGCTGCTGCCGACAGTGTTCCCAGCACCTGTCCTGTGATACCCCTGTCCATGCAGTTCAGGTACTGAGATGATCAATAAGGAAGTTTGCAACTGCTGGAGACAGCAGACATGGCAAAATTAAAAAGCACCTTTGTTCACTTGTCTTTGAATGCATGAGGCCGCTTGCTCTGTGGTCCAATTCTCTAAATGCTGTCATCAAGACAAAATGGAGATGGAGGGATGAAGGTATCCTTTAGTGGCCAAACAGAAGAGCCCCCGCCTTGGCCATCTCCAGTACTCAGCAGGAGTTAAAGGTGGTTAAGTGAAGACACTCAGGGGCCCGTCTGTACCTGCCTTGTGACCCGTGGTCATAGACGGACACCTCTAGCGCCCCCACCACCTAGCCCACCAGCACTTTAAACTCACCTCTTTCTGCTCCGGAGGGCTGCTCTGTGGTCGGGGACCTGCTGCTGTCACACCGTCCAGTTCATCGAATCCGCGAACCTGGAGCTCAGAGGCTGAAAGCAGGAGCTTGCTGACAGCTGAGTCTGTTACCAAGCGAGACTTTGGTACCAAGGCAGGGAATGGAGGCTCCAGCCTAGCACCATGGAGAGAAAACAGAGAAGAAAAATATGAAACGGGTTTCTAATCTGGTACATTCATCTTAACATCCAGACCAGAGCTGAATGACGTTTTCAACCAACCTGTCCTCTAATTACTTCTGGACATAGCCTGTGTCCACCTATGTAAAAAAGTACGAGAATGCGGTGGAATAATGAAATAAAGAAAACGCTATGAATAAGGACAAATGTAAAATGAAAGGCTTTTGGGGAAGGGAAGAAGAAATCTAGTGAACTGAACAAATGTATTGTGTTTGGATGAGATCAACCCTATCTGGGCACTGAGCTCAGCTAAGTGACCAGAGAATAGCTTGAGAGGGGACTTGTGGTACAATGTGGCTGGTGATCGACTTTTTTCACTAAGTGGTAGTGATTACACACCCTTAGTGACACAGTCCTGAGGCTGAGTCTCAGATTGTTCATCCGAGAGGCACAGATCAGGTTCAGAAGGAGAACAAGAGGTCGGAATCACACCACGCCTGACACACTGGCTGCTAGTGGACGGACACACGGACACACACTTGGCCAGAGCTGTGGGGGCTCACCTCATGTGACTGCCGCTGGTGGTATAAGCAGCCTCCACGCTCGGGATAGGCACATACGGTAACAGGGTGTGGCTGGCATGGAGCAAAGGCACAAGAGCAACAGGTTAGGGCGGTGGGGCAGCAGGGAGGCCCTGATGCACAGGGGGCTCAGGACGGTGCTCAGCCAGAGCCCCTGGAAGACACGCGACAGTCACTCAGCAAGACGACCGCCTCCCTCCCAGCCAGGAGAACTACACTGCTGTGCCTAGCGCTGGAGGGGAGGCAGGCCGTGGGGAGGAGGCAGGAGAGAGTGAGCAACAGAGGGCACTAAGAGAAGAGGGGAACCAGGAGGACTCTGAGCCTTATACCTTCCACTCAAGCTGCTGAGCATGTGTCAAAGATTTTTAAAAAGTAATTTAAAGATAAAAGTACACTAGTCAGCTCTGTATTAACCATATTAAAATAAACTCTGCCAACTTCTTTAACCCTGTGAGCAACTGTGACGGAATCTTATTTTAAAGCCAAGTTTCACAATAAACATGGCCACATGGCTAAAAATTTTGACAGGGCTGGTTCCTATATAATTGAATTTTTATTTTTATAGATGAAGTAATGGAATTAATCACTTATAGACACATTAACATGCAATGCTGGAGAGCTCTTGGTGCCCCTCAGTAAAACCTGTACCAGTTTCTGCTGAATTTAGACACAGTAAAGGTTTAGTTAATAAGACGTTTGTATGCTGACACTACCAATCCATCTCCTCTGGGAAGTTAGAGAAATTTGTTCAATGGCTAAATCACCAATCATTCAGATTTATAGAAATGTTAGCACCAATTTGGAATGCTGGAAAAGAGCTGACCAAATCAGGAATCAGGAGACCTCGTTCTGGGCCTCGCTCAGCTGATGCATTAAGCAGCTGAGTGATCTGAATTAGAAAAAACCATGTGCCTGTCTTATCATCTATAAAAAAAAGGCAAAAAAAAAAAAAAAACCAAACCTGTTTAACCTAGATTACAGAAGGCTGGAAGATGAGGTGCTAATGAGAAAACCCCATGGAAACATAAATTAATCTTTGTTAAGTCTTGCTTTCTGAGGCTACCTAATTTACCACTTGGAACATTTATTTCTAAGCACGTCTAGGAAAACAGCAAACTTCTAAACTCTAAGCCAAGGATACGTATGATGTTAAGGCCAATGAGAACAAAAATTTCCCACAAACACCACCCCTCCAACCTTCCACTTAAATTAAAAACATGTATATAATAAATTAAAACTAAAGCATAAAGTAAATGTAATGTCAGATACAGGAAGGAAGGGAGAGAGAAAGTATCCCCCCCCGCTTCCCCCAGAAATCAGGAAAGTCAGGTGGGTAAGAGTTCTGGAAAAGGAAAAAGGGCCAAAGGGTCACTCATCTTCACAGGGTGAAACCAACAATTACCCTCCACACGAGCCTCAGGAATGGACACAGTTTCAAGGAGGTAAGACGATTTGAAGCGGGATGTCACAGTCGCAGAGCAGAGCACGACTCTGGGCCTCCAGAGGCCAACACACAGGAGCAGTGCACCACCCCTGAGGACAAACTGATTCGCACCGCCATATCTTTATGGCTGCATTATATGGAGGAAAAATTTTTCTGACTAACTCTAGGGCAATCACCTGCCATCAGCTGCGTTCAGGTTCTGGGTGTCTTTTTGAAGCCCTTTTATTCAGTGAGGTTTTGGCTAAGATGCTGGGTAACTTCATGGTATACTCCAGAAGCTTTTCAATGACACAGAACGATTCTGCAGGAGAGAGAGCCCAAGTATGCAGACAAGGCCTCTCTCAGGCTGTTCAGAATTTTAAGGCCTCTTTTTGTTGCTGAATTTTTAAACGATAGGTATGATAAGGACAAAGCAAAAAAATGTTTAAAGTTTCTGTTTATCCAAAGGATTATAAATATGAGGGCTTCTCTACTAGGTCTGAAGCAGATCGTTTGGGATATAACTCCCAAGTTTTTTTCTTCTCTTCTTTTCAATTAGAAGGTATAACGATATTGGTGAAATTATTTTCAACTATTCCCAGTGGTCAAACCACAAAAAAATCTTTCCAGCTCACTTAAAATTCTATAAATTCTTCAAGAACAGAAATGCAAATGTCAACTTTTGAAGCCGCTCTGCTCCAGAAAGAAACAGGTTCATAAACTAGATTTGGTGATATCTACATAACTAGTTAGTTTATTTAAGAACTATTTCTTCTGTATCCTTTACGCATGGAACACTGAGTTAAGAGCTGGCTGTATGACACCTTGTGAACAAGTTATAGTCACAAGCCATAGTTTGTCACCACTTTAACTTGTCATGCTGTTGGTTCTTTGCAAGGTGGGGGCAAGAGGTGAAAAGAAGAGCTTCAAAAGATTTGGTGGTTGGAGAATGAAATGGACAGAAGAGAGGAAGGCACAAAATAGAGGACTCTGCAGGAAATTCAGACTCTGCAGGAAAATTGGAGGGCTCTACACTTCAGAACTACTGCTGCATTTCCTTTGCAGGGATTTGGCAATAAACAGGAAACGCAGACACAGAGACTCCAAGCCTGGCATTTTCAGGAGCGCCCTCTCCTCCCAGCCCTGGGGTGGGATGCAAACACGGGACTTCGGCAAGGAACAGGGGATGGGGTTTACCTGCTTGGGGTGCCCAGAGTTGGCTGCTGCTTGCTGGGAGAGGAATGAAGAGCGGAGACTTCCAAGGGGCAGGCAGAAGGCCCATGCTGGCTCCAAATGGACAGCACTCGGCCCACCGAGAAGGGCAGAGAACAGAAGGCCTCGTCTGTCGGGGAGGCTGGAGACCTTAACCCTTTCAAGCCCTGTGTAAACTGGGTCAAGAAGAGCCTCTGCATGGTGGGCATGTGACTGGAGAAGCTCCGTTTTTTCGTCCAGATTCGGTAACATCCTGGGGAACAAAGTGCTAGGAGTGTGTGAAGGCCAAGGACGGAGCAGCTGGCTCTGGTCTGGACTATGGCGGCGGCTCCATGGTCCTGGAGAGGAACTGGAGGCTGTGGGGGAGGCCGGGTGACTGCCTGACCCCGGACACCAGCGTCTTCCCTGAATGTGGCCACCCCAGGGCAACCATGGGCCAGGAAGAAAGAGAAGGTCCACTTGGGCGGCAGAGATGGACACTGGGCGGCCTCTCCTAAGGCGAGCCTCGTGGGTGCACAGTGCTCGGGAAAAATCCTTGGGGACTCAGTCCCGCGCTCGGAGCCCGACTTCACGTGGAAGGAGACCGGGAAGACTTCGGAACCAAACAGCAGTGATGGCATCTTGGCGCCCAGATCCATGAAGCTCATTTTGATGGCTTCGAGCGAACAAAGTGTCAGGGGTTTACTAGTGGGCCTCTTGTCCCAACGGCTGGCTGCCAGACATGGATTCAGCTGCGCGGTGCTGCGTGAAAACCCATCCAGGAGCTGGCGGTATCTGAGCCGCTTGTGGCTTCCGGCCACCGGGAGAAGCTCCGAGGAGCACCGACGCCCCAGCTCCCAGGCCTGTGCGGCCGGGGCCAGTCTGGAGGCCAGGCTGGACAGCTTGCTGAGTAAGGCTGACTCTTTGGTAGGCTTCCGAACATTCAGGCTCCCCGAGAGGCGGCCCGGGGGTGCCGGCTGCTTTGGTGTGGGGCTTCTGAGGCTCCCGGGGCTCCAGGCCGGAGCTGTCTTGGGTTCCGGTAGCGGGGCTGCGGCCACGGCGCGCGAGCTGAGAAACCTGTGTGCTTTCGTGGGGATGGTTTCAGGGGAGCTCTTGAAAAAGGCAGAACTTCTGATTTTACTCATTTTCCTCCCCATGTTGACTTGCTCCTGACAGGAAACCTTCTTACACGTTCGGGGGGGCTGCTTCTTTAGGGGAAGCACCCCTCTCCGGTGTGAAGTGTTCCCAAAGGCACCGCCGAGGTCCCCGCGCCCGGTGGGCCTGGGGCCTGGCGCTCCCCGGGGGGCTCCCTGGAGGCTGGGGCCTGCACATGGCGTGGGGTCCTCTCTTAATGGATGGCACCAGCTTCCATTTGGGTCTCTGGGCTCCTGAAACCCCACAGCAGTGCTGCCTGTGGCCGGCTCTGCCGGGGTGACTTCTCCCACAGTGAAGGGCTCATCTCCACAGCCCCGAAGACGACTCTCCCTTCGCAGCTCATCTGACAACAGAGAAGGGGCTGTGTGTTGCGCCCATGTGGTACCTGCTTCTGGCTGCATCTGGCCCTCTTCCTCCCTGCCGTGTCGCTCTTCTGCATCACTGGGATCCCCCTGGGGGCTGAGGTGCACTTGAGAAGTCTCACTCGTGATCTCCCCTGGGACCTCCTCGTTGGACACGTATCTCTTCAGATTCCTCCCCGGCAGCCACAGGGCCCCGCGGCCGGCCCTGGTCTCCGGTGTCCTTCCCGCTCGCTGCAGGCTCGGTCTCCGCTGTTAAAGGCGGGCTCCTCATGCCAACGGCCATGCTGTCTCCTGCACCAGGAGCCTTCTTACCCCCTGGGGCCCCCTCCTCCACCTCAGGCAGGACTTCCACGTCTTCACAGGGCACTTCACCATCTTTTGGCTTAAAAAGGCTTTTCAGGTCAGATGTTCCACTGTTAATATCAGTTTCTGATTTTTCTTGGGACGACAGGCACAAAGGCGTTATCTCAATGGACTTCAGGTTTTCTGGGGGAACAGAGTTCTCACCTCGGTGTCCAAAAGATACCAGCTCCTCTGAGCAAATTCCACAGAGGTCTTCCTTGTCAAACTCAGACTTTATTTCTTGTCTTGATCGCTCCATCATTCCTTGTGCTCCTCCCAGAGATGCTTCTTGAGGTTTCTGTTCATGGTGAATGTAATTTAAAGACACACTTTCCCTACCCAATCTTCTAACATTTGGCTCATGATCTGCAGCAAACTCTACCTCACGGGCCCGAGAGTCTGGACACACTTCCATTTCACAGTATTCTGATGCTCCCCGTACTTTGTCTTCACATGATTTTTTCATTTCGAGAGATTCCACCGCAGGGGAAGCAGCATCTTGGAAATCCGAATTCGGGTCCATCTCTCCCAGGAATGCAAGGCTGGGCTCCCCTCTCTGGGACAGCGTACTCCGTGGGGCTTCACGTAACATTGGCCCAAACTGACCTGCACCACCATCAAGTGTACTCGGTGCCCTTTCATCTGGAACGCTTTCTGTGGGCTTCTTCCTGCAGCCTGCGTGGACGAAGTCTACCATGCCGTCTGCGGACTCCTCACAACCAGAAACCCTTCTGAAGGTCCCTTCCTTTGGATGTCCACCAGGCCGTGAGCTGTTATTGCCTGCACTGATCAGGAGACCCTCCCGGCCCTGGCTTCCCGCTCTGCTGGGCTCTGTGCCTGTCTCTCTCTGGTCACCTCCCGGCATCTCCTTGGCTGAGTTATCTTCATTTCTGCATTTGTCTGGTCTATCCAGGTTACTCTGGCAGCTGAGGGCCTCATCGGCCTTCTGCTCAAGAGTTTCAGGAGCTTGGTTCATGCTTTTAACACCAGAGGACAGAACAGAAGGAAACTGGTCCAGCAATCTCTCAGGGCTTGGAGTATCTGTAGGCTGGTTTCGCTCCCGTACGGCACAATCAGAGATGTCACCTTTGTGACAGACGGTCTCCTTGGGCACATCCTGTTCTCCTCTCTCCAGCCCTTCCCCGCTGGGTCGGCTGTGCAGCGCAGTGTGAGCGGTTTTGTGTGAAGCTTCACTACCTGATGTGCCTGCCGGCGTCTCATTTCTGGCCTCGCCTCCTGGAAGGCTGCCTTTAGTTCCTCTCCCATCAGGTTCACTCTCTGATGTACCACTCACTTTATGGGCGCTACTTTCCACGGAGCCTTCTCTCCCTTGGGGGCAGCAGTCGCTGTGCTGAAATGCATTTTTGTACTTGGTTACTGGAGGGTTTTCAGCTCCCAGGAGGGTTTTGCTGGGCTCCAAGGCAGCACGGTTGGGACACGTGCTCTCCTCCGGTGCGTTCCTTCTCACACAAGGGCGGCTCGAGAGGTCCTGCAGTTGGACACTTTGACATTCCATGGCAGAGGCCTCTTGAGGCAAGTCTGCTGCTTCTTCCTTGTTTGAGGGGAGCCTGGAATGTGCATCTTCTGCTCCTGGAGCAGCCATTTCGGCTTTTCTTTCTAGGCTCCCTGGTCTGCTGTTTAAGGTGGGACTGTTTGAAGAGGCACCACAGGTTTTGTCACCTGGTGGAGAGATGTCTTCTGTTCCTGTCTTCAGGGGAGGGGTCTGAGTACCAGCAAGGACATCTGCTCCAGCCTCTAACGGAGGGTGTTGGTTCTGTTGGGAAACCCCCTCACTCGCTGCTACAGGCACCTCTTTGTCAGTTGGCAACTTTGCGTGGTTTTGAGAATTAAGGGACACTTGATTTAAAACACATTCACTTCCTAATTTGTTTACGGCCAGTTCATTGGTGCAAGAAAGTTCATTTGTCTCCCAGGCAGTGCTCTGTTCATCTATGTGTGGACCACCATCCTGGGAGTTGTGTGTGGCTTCTTCTGACTCAGGTCTGTCCTGGAACTCTGGGGATGGTGGTAACGGAGCAAGATCTTTCTTGGGTTTGGATACGTCATTTATGGAATTTAACTGGTCCTCTGGCGTTAAACTCACGAGGGATTCTCTTTCAGTTGGAAATTCATTATGTGATGCTTCATCTAACTGGGTGTTGCCATCCAGATTTCTGTGGGTGCTGTCTAAGGAGTCTTCACTGTGACTCTTCTCACTTGACACACTGGGCCCGACAGTGGCTGTCTGTTCTGGCCCTTCCGTCAGCATCACAGAGGAAGAGTGCGCACCCAGACGGCTCATATCAGGAAAAGTTACCCTATGGTCCTCACGGTTTGCCAAGCTACCTTGAATGTCTACAGTGATTTTCAAATCATTTTTTTCAAACATTAATTCCCTGGCTTCGGTTAAAGAACTGGGCACTGAAGAACTAGGGCTGTCTGTGTGGACACTGCCTCGAGGGCAGCAGTTAGCACGGGTGTTTTCTTTGGGGACGTCAGCGGTCTGGTTTTTCCCAGAACGATGACTACTAGCATCCTCTTCTGGCTGCGTGGCACTAACAGGAAAGGGTTCCCCTCTTTCACTCCTGGGGCTCGAAAGCTGTTCATTTTCTTCTCTGGAAGCCAAGTTCACACTTTGATCGTCCCCATCCAAACAGGAACTGTCTGTCTTTTCAACAGATCCCTTCAGCAAGCTGTCACCTTCAAAATCGCACTTTGCTAAGGATGCTGTTCTGGATTCTGGACCAGACAAACTTGATGTGAGATGTGAAACTTCAGAATCTTCTTCTGAAACAGAATTTTCTTCTACCACAACCACATTCCTCGTGGCTTTAGGGCTGCCACGTGGGGAACTGTGTCTCTCATTATGGTGGCCAAGAATCCGCTGCTGATTGTCATCTGCTTCACAGGTAAGGTCCAATTTACACAACTCTTCCTTCCCACCATCCACTTGGGAAATGGCACTGTTCCCTGGTAATGACGGCGACCAAGGAGGACAGGCTTTTAATGCTTCACATTCTGTTTCTTCAGGAGTTGCTTCTGTTGATCCAGGGCCCACAAAGTTCAAAGGCTCTAGGGAAGCTAGCGTGCTGGGTTCTGAAACTCTGTCACCGGTCATGACTCTGTCTACTTCCAGGTGTCTGCTGCGCCCAGGTGGGAGCCCTTCGCTCACGTGGCCGTCCTCTCGTTGTTCGTAATCATCCGTCTCAGTCCCACTGACCTTCATCCCTTGGGCTTCCTCAGCAGATTTTAGCAGAGTTTCAGTTGTAACTTGTACATTTCCTTCTGCACAAGGGAAATAAATCCAAGTCAGTATGTAATCATTAAAAAAACAAACAAACAAAAAAACCCAAACATCCGCTCTACCTTCATAAATCTAATCATGCCGCCAACGGCAGCAAGAGGCCTGACTCAAAAAGAGAAGCGCAAAGTGAGTGTTAAAATACCACTGGTTTTTGTTTTCTCTGCGAAACATGACAGAGGGACAAGAGTACCTGGAAGAAGCAGGTTATTCTGAACAAACTTCTTATGAAATGTTATGTAAATGCACTTACTGAGCTGGACAAATGAATATAACGGGGAGATATATGCCTAATTCAGAGTCTTAGGAGGCTTCCACCCTAACGCGTTAGTAAAGCAGACTCACAATAAAACAGCTTATATTATTACTAAATGATCATCTTCTTAATACCTGAATAAATAAGTAATAGGTAAAATTATCTCGTTGAAAAAGAACAGTTATACATAGAAACTTACGTAAGAGAGATTAATCTGTTAAGCTGGACATCAGTCTTGAGCCCAATTACCTGCAGTAATTGCCTCTCTACGAGATTGGTCACCAGTTGGTAATTACTGAAGGTCAGTGACAGGTACATGGGGGTTTAGTAACCTCTCCTTTCCACTTCTGAATAAATGTGAAATTTTCCATTATGGAACTTTAAAAAACAAACAAAGAAACCTTTCTAAGCAGAGTGTAAACACAACTCATAAAGGAGTTTTACTGCACAGATTTCTCTGAACTTCTACGTACAGGATGTGGTATAAAGAACTCAACTTGCTACTCCACGTACACGAAAGTTTCATCCCACTCCCTTTATAGAAAACAAACCCAAAGCTATGTAATTATGTATGGATGCACGTATGCAACAGGACACCTGTCCTGAACGCATACAGCGAAGTGCCTGTCGATCTAAAGATCTAGCTCCCACCAGAACAGAAACTCCACGGGGTCAGGGTCATGCTTGTTCTGGTCTCTCCTCTTCCCTTGTGTCTAGCATAATGCCTGACACCTGACAGCACTCGGTAAGTATCCGTGGAGTTCATAAGTGAGCACAGTTAGGTAAAGTCAGCAACTGTTAGTCATGTCTCCCTAGGGCTTCCTCAGTTGGCGCTGAGAGTAGCAGTTCTGAGAGAAAGCGCAGTGACTGAAGGCAAGCCAGCTGGGCTCTGTGATACCACTTACCTCTGAGTCTTCTTCGTTAAAGGTGGGAAGTCCACTTACCTCGGTGCCATTCTGAGGATTCAATTGGAAAACACCTGTAAACCACCACCTGGTACAGTGCCTGCCAGTTAAAGGAAAAGTGTCTTTCCTCTGCTCTGCTCTGGCTGATTCCTACTTTACTGGATCTGAGGATAGTTATAGGGATAAACTTAATAACTAGGCTAGGACACAGCACTTAAAAATATCTGGAGTCAGCAAATACTAGGTGGATAAATACATGCTGGATTCTATGAGTGTGCACAGCTATCAGTCACTGACAAAAGGTGGCCCTGAAATCCTAATGGCCCACATCACAGCAGACAATTCTATACCCTATTCATGGATTTCTAAGCACAAACACTGCACATGGTTTCACTCTGTCTCCCGCTTGATGCCGCAGCACTCATGAAGCCGCTTGTGTCTGTCCTGCGGCTGTCCCTCTGTTTCAGCACCACCTGGGTCCCATCCCTCATCACAACTGTGCAAGGACACTCTCAAACTCTTCATCCTCAAACTGCTTACTGGGTAAGACTCACCCCCAGAGCCCCCGCCCCCTCTTCCTAAGGAGGCCTGTTGTCCACTCTGCATAGTCGTGGGGATGGGGCAGCCAATCCTGGGCGGGGTGGCAGAAGGGGCGGGGGTGGCGTGTGTACCGCTTGAAAACAAAACGATACTCTGCCCACTCTTTTGACTTCGTTTGAATCATATTCCGAAATCTCCAAGAACTTTAAAGGAGCCTTTGAGATAATTTTATATTTATTAGAAAGTTTTCAAAAGGCTGGATCCTTATCTGTATCTTGGGGAGAAAAACGGTGACTGCATCACAGGACTTGTAAAGATGAGGTGAATTCACGCACATAAAGCTCTCAGAAGTGCCGCACAGAGTCCATGCCCGGTGCGAACCACTCCGCCAGACCTTCACTCCCTTGCACGGCATCTCTATCTAAACCTCGGTAATGCTGTCCCTCGACTACGTGTGTAATTTATCAGCTTCATGAGATTGGAGGTATCTGAGGACAGAAACCAGATCTTACTGATCGCTGTGTACTTAGGATCCGACAGTGACCTTGGCCCCTGGCAGGTATATAATAGGTGTTAGCTGAATGAAGAACCAGATTAGTGAAGGTGTTAGAAGTATTAGACATGCTGGAGCTATGTGCCCATTTAAGAAACACAGGTGTTCCATGACCTCAGCTGAATGGATCTGTAGTTCTGTGATGACTTATGTTTGCAGAAATTGACAAACATCCTAAAACTCATATGAAAATGCAAAACACAACAGCCACAACAACCTTGAAGAAGGTGGCAGACACACTTCCTGACTTCAAAACTTACTACAGAGCCACAGCAATCACCAGAGAGATGTACAGATCAATGGAACAGGACCCACAGCCCAGAAATAAACTCTTAACATTCAAAGTCAGTCAACTGATTTTGACAAAGGAACAAGGAAAAATACCTTTCCAACAAATGGTCCTGGGAAAAGTGGATATCCAGATGCAAAAGAATAAATTTTTATTCTCCCAACTCACATCACACAAAATAATCAACTCAGAGTTGATCACAAACTTAAATGCAAGAGGTGAAACAATAAAACAGACAAAAACACAAGAGTAAATCTTCATGAACTTGAGTTAGCTAATGATTTCTTGGCTAAGAAATCAAAAGCAAAAGTGATAAAAGACTGGTAAGTTGGACTCCATCGAAACTAAGAACTTTTTATACCTGAAACTGAAATAATATTGTAAATCAGCGATACCTCCTTTTTTTAAATGTTAAATGTATCAATTAAAAAAAAAAACTACAATGTTTGTGCTTCATAGGACAACACCAAGAAGTGAAAAGACAAACCACTGACAGGGAGAACCTATGTGCAAATCATCTATCTGACAAGGGATTTGCACTTAGGATACATATAGAACTTAACAATAAAAAGACATACACACAAAAAACTAATTTAAAAATAGGCAGACAGAACATTTCTTGAGTGTAGTCCATACCTAGTGACTTTCTTCCAAAGAGGACAGTATGGAGCCAGAGGAGAGAAGTAGCTTTACAGGGAGAAACCTGACAAACACTACGTCATGTTTACAGTCCGTGCCCTTGATGATGGGTTGAAAATGCACTTTACCTGGGTGATTTTCCTCCCCCAAACCCTAGTCATATGAGAAAAACTAAGTATGATGTAAGTTTTGGTTTGTCCTACACCCCGTCCTTGGAAAGATGTGTGATGGGTAAGCAGTGCTGTGACGCCTTATGAAAGGACGCCCTCCCGTGGAGGTGCACATGGGCTGCCTACAACCCCACAAACCTTCATCACCTTAGCTGGTACTGACTGCCAGCCATCTAGCTTTCCAAACAACAGGTTAAGTCAACAAATAACGAGGAAGTATTCAAGCCCTCGGCTGGAACTCTTATACTGCTGATGGGAACAGAAAATGGTACAACCACTCCAGAAAACAGTTTGGTAGTTTCTCGCAAAATTAAACATACATTTCCCAAATGGCCCAGTGGGCCCACGCCTAGGTATGTGCTCAGGTGCAATGACAACTCAAATTTATACAAAAACTGGTACAGAAGTGTTCACAGCAGCTTTAGTCATAATTACCAAAACTGAGAACAATGCAAATTTCCCTCAAATGGGAAACAAATAAATCGTGGCACAACCAGACAAAAGGATACATTTCATACACACAGGACGAAACACAGAGCACCGTGGATGAACCTCAAACACACTACACTAAACGAGCAAAGTCAGGTTCAAAAACTCCCCCTGAATAATTACGTTTATTTGACACTCTAGAAAAGTCAAAATGATAGGGACAGAAAATAGATCAGTGGTTGCCAAGGGCTTGTGGCATAAGGGACCGACTGTAAAAGGAGCGGCAAGAAATTGCTGGGGTGATGGTGACGTTCTGTTTCTTGAGTTGGATGGTACAGTTGTGATTACATAACTCCATGTGTTAGCCAAAACTCACAGAACTGTACATAAAAAAGGTGAATTTTACTATACTTAAGTTAGATCTTAATTTTTTTTAAATGAAAAACTTCAGTTCCCCAAGTGTCTAGACTTCTTTGCTACCTATTAAATAGGTGTGGTACTGGCTGATTTTCAATTTTCCACTCCCCAAAATATAACTTATAGGAGGATAATGACATCAATAGATAATACAAAACAGTAAATATTCATTCCAAATTATAAAAACCAATCAATAAATGCCAAGAATCTGGATGCATATAAGGCATGAGGGCTTTATTGAGAGATTCATTCTATCTACTTACAATGCTTAACTTATTCACATAACAGAAAAAGAGGCCTTTAAAAGATTGTTTAGACTTTAGTTATCCTAAATAATTGAAACTATCTAGTTCCAAAAATTATATAAGGTAGCTTCTCTCTCCCTGACTGCTTTCACCTCTGCACCAAAATGTATTTCCTCACTGCTCTTCCAATTTCTGGTGACCCTCCTATTTCAGAGAATTCCCAAATAAGCCTTAATGGAGACTGTTACTATAGTAACTAAGTCCCACAGTAATTAGTGGGAACTAATATTTGTATTTTTCCTGGAACCCATTCCATCTTCCTTATACAATCTTCCCTATCAAATCCAGTTACAAGGAGCTCTCAAAAAGAATTTTTTTTGGTAATGTTAGTTTTATAAAATAACTGAACAAAAAATTATAGTGAAACGGGCAGGTTAAAACTCAGAACAGCAGCAAGGAAGAGGTACCAGTCAGAGGGACACTCTTTCCTCGTGAAATGGCCTCTAGACTGACACCCATCACTGCTCCCTGACGCCCGCTTCTCCCGGGTCTGCCTTCCTACAATCAAGAAATAGAGAACAGCATCTTGGTTCACATGAAGGTCCTTTTAAATAGCCAACCATGTTCTCATTTTACCTAATTGAACCACAGCAGACATAATGACTGTTTAAAAAAGAAAAAAAATCTCAAGAGCCTGGAATCCCATGCTAACTTGGGAGTGCTGTGAATGGGACCTTTATACAGAGGAGGAAAAGCAACAGAGTGGAGAGTGTAGCAGCCTGGGGTCACTTACTAAACAGCTCAGTGTGGCGATCCAAATTCACTCCTCAGCAGACTTATACGTTATTTCAGCACACTGACCTTAGAGGTGCCCCCAGTCAGAATAATCCAACCTTCATATAAATGAGACTATGTACAGCAATTTGCACAGTGCTCAACAGTGCAAACGCTTACAACAAAGGCAGCAAAGATCTGTTAGGTTTCCATCAGGAAAATTTAAACCTAATACACTCAGGACTAGGAGCTATGCTTTGGGGCAGAGTGAAAATTCTAGAAGCTAGGGCCCCTAAAGAGACAGTACAACTAGACTTCCAAGAAACGCCATCTACTTCTCAATTCTGTAGCAAATGGTAAGTTAGTGGATGCTTGACCTTGACCTTGGCAAAGCAGCTGAAATGCCGGCCCTATTAGGGAGAAGCACAGGCATCTGTCTAACTCAAATCCAGGGCAGCAGCTGCAAGTCCCGCCTGCACTCCCAGCGCTCAGTTCCTATGGGGCCCCGCCTCCTTAGAACCTTCCTTTCTGCCTGGCTATGTCTGGCCACGACCCTGGATGGCTGAGCTGGCTTCCTTGTGTGTGACACAGGGACACGCTGCAAGGTTCTCGGGGTCGGCAGGCAAGAATATATCACAGTCAGGCACTAGGTCACTGCTCTAAAATTCAGGTAGAGCCACTGCCTTTTCCAGGCTCCCCCAGATCAAACTGAGAACCTTCCACACGGCTCTTGGGGAAGAGGGCAAAAAAATCATTTTACCAATTTAAGTCATTAAACAAGAATGGTGTTGGGACAGGAAGAAGAGCGCCACAGAGCAGTTTATCTGAAGGCAGTTTTCAGAATAGCTCATCTTATCTGGGTCCAGTGGGGACCAGCTTTCTAGGTAGAGAGTAACTGGGAAAGTCCGAGAAGGCAGGTTTCCTTGTAGAAAATAACCCTGCAGGTTCTCCTCTTTAAAAGGCCCGTTCAGCGGTTAAATCAAAGCATAGTTCAATACATACACAGTGAATCTGGTGATAAGAGGTGGGTGAAAATACACCAACATACCTGAGACTCCACACACCAAGGCAGGAGCAGAAAAGATCTCAGCGGGGACGGTGACGGCACCACACTGCGTCCCTAGCGAGGCCCTAAGCCCTGGGTGAGACATGCACAAAGCGACACTCTGCATCTTCAGAGCTTTACTCTTTACGGGATGTCCACGCCTGTGAGCCAGAGAATCCCCGGCAGGAGGGAACAGCGTGACAAACTGGGACAAGCCTGCGTCTCACAGGGGCGATCTGTGCTTCCTTTTCTGTCCAGGCTGCCAAAAGCAGAGCGTCAAATCTGATGCTGTCTCACGGCAACAAAGTGTCCACGTAGTTCAACATATTTGCTGTATCTTTTTTTTTTTTGCAGTTCTGATGACTCTGCTGTTAACCTTAGCTGTATAATAGACACACATAGTCCTCTCTAAAGTTACCTAGGATTATTTCTGGCCTCGGGCCGGGGAGAAAAATCTTGGCTCAGCACTCTCTCTCAGGCCTCCTTCTTAATCAATCAATCAAACAAATTGAAGGCAATATCTCAGATGCCTATACCCAACCACTGTTTTGAGGAGCAAAACGAGGTAACAGAAATGAAACTGCTTTGAAAACTGTCTAGGTGATCCGGAATGAACGCCTCCCTCGCCCTTGCACAGAGAACAGAGCCCATCCTGGGCAGGTTCCTCCCTGTCCACATTAACCCTTCCAGACAGGTAGTGGAGCGTCATCAAATCAAGTAAAAGACTTCACACCAGCAGTTAAGGTTCAACACACGGTCAACAGGGGCTCATCAGAGAAAAAGCAGGAAGCAAACTCTTATCACAATCAGTAATTCTGGGGGCCTGAGTATGTCCATGGGCAGTAATACTGAGACCACCTTCTGAGGCAGGAACTGAGAGCCTCATGTTCCCAGTGCGAACTAAACAGTGTGTGGTAAGTGGACAAAGGAAAAGATCTGAGAGAAATAAATACCTTTGCTCCTCAGACAATCTTCAGCGAGGTCCGTGCATAAAAGTTCTTTGCTCGCCTGCATCAGAAGATCCTCCTGTGGTAAGAAAACCCAGCGGTCAGGGAGGGTCCAGAGATAATGCGCTCACCAACGCCATTATCCTTAGACAGACTTCTTTCTGGCTCCCAGTAACTTGCTAGTGGTCACAGAGACTGGGAGCTGAGGGCAACAGCCAATTCAAATTAATTCAATCAGTAAAACTCCCACTCCTCTAGAATCTGCGCTTGAAAAGCCAAGTTTCCCAAGGTCTGTACAGTAACAGAGGTTTAGGGTGTTGGTGCAGATCCAAACAAGAAACACACTGATGCAATGTGATCTTCATTAAATGAAAACCTGAATGGAAACTCTCAGCAAGCTGGATGTACCTCAGTCCCTAAACGTTCTCGGTGTCAGGTACTTCTTTTCTTCTCAAACTTCCTGGAAGGGCTGTTTTTTCTTTTCATCCCTGCTCACTGGAAGAGGGGGTGGAGGGGACACCATCAGTGACACCTGGTTTCCTCCTAGAGGGAATCAGGAAAACGGGAAGGAGCAGGAGCAGGTACCTGGCGGGCTTGGAGCCCCGTGAGGACAGGGTCCTATCAGGCTGACCAGCCGGGAGACTCTGAGAGACCAGCAACGGCTGCTCACACCAAACTTTCCTCTTGGCCAAGGATTTAAAAAAAATTTGTTTCCACATTGATTTAATTGGTAAATACAAGATTCTGGTGTAGCACTCACCTACATCTACAGATAGTAAAATCATTGCTACAACTTTCCATAAGTTTTATAGCACTCAAAACAACAATAAACAAGCAAAACCACTTCATCTCTGATCAAAGTTCTGTCTTGGAAACAGAAGATCCAGGCGATGGTGAGGATGGCGGACACAAAGCATCATCACTGGGACGGAGCAGAGAGGCCGGGCTCGGGCTGTTCCTTCATTTTCTACTGAACCTTCAGTGTGGAACGCTCTTGCAGAGCATCGACAATGTGCTCCCACACAGCTTACGTGCGACACTACTGTGCTTGGGAAAAAAAAGTGTGTGAATTCTAGCACGACGCCAGACCAAACGTATTTGTAAGTGGGGAGAAGAGAAAGCTCTGACTTACCATAGAAGGAATAATGGAATTAGAAAATCACCATTTGGCAACCATCGCAGTGATAATTATCTCAACAAGAATCATCACTGGATGTGAAAACTAGTGGCTAAAAGTTTGAATGAGAAACAAACATTTACGTAGTCTCAAAATATCTCCCCACAAGATGCTTACTATTACGAAGGGGGAAAACAGTAAATTCACAGTGGAGAAGTCTGGCAGAGCCCACCTGAACCAGGGGATGGAAGCTCCCCGGCTCAGGAAGGGGGCGCCTCCTGAGAAGATGCAGAGGGAACCAGCATCACTTATGTGGGACCCTAACCCCCCAAATGCATAACCAGGATCTACTCAAGAGGAAACATCAGACAAACCAAAACTGAGGAAAATTTTACAAAACAAATGGCCTGTACTCTTCAAAAGTGTCAAGGTCATGGGCTGAGGAAACGTTACAGACTCAAGGAGACTAAAGAAATGTAACAACTGAATGCTACAAGTGATCCTGGATTTTTCTTTCCTTTGCTACAAAGACATCGGTGGGATGACTGGCCACATGTGAACATGGTCTGCAGGTCAGATCAAAATACTGACCAAAGATAAAAGATGTGCATTAATTTCTTAATTTTGATTAATGTACGGTGGTCACATAACAGGACATCCTTGTTTGCTAGGAAATATGCAGTCAAGAATTTGGGCACCATGTCTGCAACTATACTCTCAAATTATTCAGAAGGGAAAACAAGCCAACGTGGTAAAATGTTAATCTCAGCTGTAAGTCTGACCACACGCAGAGTCTTGTGAGTTCTAGTGAACTGCCAAACCCAGAAGCAGTCTCAGGGTCCCCTGACACACCTGGAAATCACCCCCTACCTGTGCATGGAGATCTTCATTCTTCATTTCAGCTGCACAGCGCTCCAAACATGGATATTTATATACCATATTTTATTCCACCTCTCTCCTATATGTGGACGTTAGGGTTGCTTCCAACATTTTGCAATGATAATGCTTCAAAGAATAACCTCGTGTATGTGTACTTTTCTACTCTTGGAGATGCATCTTATGGATGGCTGCCTAGAAACAAGAGTGCTGGGCCAACAGGTCAGGGCACAGCAGTCTTGTGAAGTGTAGCCCAATTTCTCCTCTGTAAGACTGATGTAACACCAGCAACATGTGAGAACGCCTTTCTCCTCACAGCCTTGCCAACCCAGTGTGCTGTCATAATTTTCCATTCTCAGCAACCCGATAGGTTTCATAAAAGTCGTATCATAGGTTGTTTAAATTTGCATCTCTAATTACGAGTGAGCTTGACCATCACGTGTTTAAGTGCACACATGCACACACACACACACACACACACTGACTTATCTATTCAAGCCTTTCCTCCGTTTTCTATTGGTTTTTTTCATTCTGCAATTTAAGAGTTCTTCATATATTAGATAGAAGCCCACTATGATAAATGTTGCAAATATACTCTCCCAACTCATCAGTTGTCTTCTGACTGCGTTTGTCGTGATTTGACAATCTAGCAGGAGTCCTTATCTTGAAGTCCAAGATGTCTGGGGTCCGCAAACCTTAGGGGATGGTCTGACTGACTTTCTGAAGGGTCTGCAGCATCCGCCCAGATGTCCAGAGGGTCCTGTGACCTGACAAAGCCATGAGCTACCACTTCCCCGTGTCCCCTACTGCGCTGGGCCCAACAGGACCACTTCTGCTAGACAGCCCTCAGGAGCCCTTCACTGAAGGCTTCTCTCATTTCTCTTGATTCTTTTCTTTCACAGGAAGACACAGTCAGCAACTCAGCCTCCAGCGGTGTATTTCAGGTTGTGTCGTCAGTGTGAGTTCTGATATGAACACATTTCTGGCCTCTTATACTCCTCCCAGATGACGCCAGACTCAACGCGGAAAGGAGGGGCCAGGCTCTTCTTTGGCAGGAACCCCAACACTGACACATTCCTTGCTTCCCCTATGCTCCTAACCATACCCCCTGTATCTTGAGCTCATGTAAGTGTCAGGGGGTTGGGGAGGGACTGTCAGGATGAGGCCCAGCTATGGGTTAACTAGCGAACGCGAGCACAACCACCACCTTAGCCCAGGTAACACATTCTGTTCACGTATTTTAAGGGCAAAGCTGCTTTTCTTGGCAGTCAATTCTAAGTGACCAGTTAAAAGCTGTAGGTCTTTTCTTTCCCCCATAAATCCTCATGCTTTTTTCCTGACTTGTGTAGTTCCCTTTATGGAACCAAGCACAAAATCTTGCATTTATGGCTATTAAATTTCATTTTACTTTATACAATTCAAAATAGTATTTACTTCTGGTGGAGTCAGAAGGGAGAAAGGGAATGGTTTAAAAAAAGGAACAGGAAGACAGAAGTCTCTAGTTCTCAGGCTCGATGGTATGCACACACGTGTGTACACACATGCATAGATCCAAGTATGTTGTGTTTGTTAATATACTTCATAATTTATAGATGCATACTTTCATCTTATATCATCGAGCACATTAAGAAACTTGTTAAACTCAGCCCATCACATCAAGAAGTAAAGAACCTTTAGATCTGTTACCACATTCATTTAACTATATTTTTAAGGACAGGCCATCGCAGCATAAATTCTGGTATCATGTGCAACTGCTACTTAATGCTTTGTCCATTCCTGATTGTGGTTAACACATGCAGCCTACTAACAACTATCAACTGCCCTGTAGCCAGCGTAAAGAAACGACGGATTTATCAGGTGGGGAAGGGTGCCTACCCAGGAAGCCCAGAGAATATGAATTTATTAGCGGGTCCAGAGCAGGTCAACTGTAGCCTGTGCTTACAAATAACCCTTTAAGGGATACCACCACACTCATCTGTGTAAGCGGTATCTGTGCCCGATTGCAAGCTACAATGGCAGAGTGGAGGCCACATGGCCCAGAGAGCCCAAAATATTTACCGTCTGGCCCTTTACATAAAAAGTGCACTAACTCCTGGTCTAAGGTACCAACTGGGGAGAGAGTAAGTTCTCCAGGCCACTCAGCAGGTACCATTCCTTGAGGGACTGGGGTCCACCAGGCCACCACAGCTCACTAACCACTAGTCTCACCCAACAAATCTCTCTGACTCTAATTTCAAGCACACAGAGACCTGACTTTCCATGCCCCTCCAAGCGGTGATTCCACTTCTCACTAGCAACTGAAGAACCGCTTTCTGATTTATGCTTCTGTCTCTCCTGAAGTGGGTTAGCTTGGATCAGTTCTTTGGCGACCATCACCTCTGATGTGCAAAAAAAAATTTAAGTCAAGTTTCTGGACCTGTATAGTTTAGGGCTTGCCCCTGAAATATGGAGACCCCCTGAGGGTAGCCATCCTATGAAGCCCTACCCGGGTCAACAGTCTCCCTCAGAGACATCTATGTGACACCTCACTCCATCCTCACCACGGTGCTACCAAAACTCAAGGAACAAGTCCACATCACCCCTTAACGTCAGATGCAGAAATCCCACACAACTACCACAAAGTGATTCAACATTCCATACACGCTGCAGCTGCTTCAGAGGGCTGACACATTTTCTAGATAAGCACTTCCCCTCTTCAAGTGTCTGACGGGACACAAATGTTCTTAGAGATCATCAAAAGAAAGTTAACATGAAAATCATCATTTTGGAAATGTTTCAAGAATAAATCACCGAGCCACCTGTCAGAATGTGTACTTTATCCTGGGAAGTGTTACTCCCGCTGGAAAGCTGCCATTCACACACAACTCATCTGCATCGAGATGTCATTTCTTACCTGGCGAGGGCTGAGCCTTCCTTCAGCGGCTGCAGAATGTTGACGCAGGGCTTCCTCTGCTCCCTCACAGGGCTCGCTCACAATCTCCGCCTGGTCCCCTCCATCTCCGAAGACCTTTAGCTCCATGCTCTTGGCTTTCTCTTCCCTATCCAAGATCCCAGGAGCCACAGAACCTTCTGCTGGGGAGTCCACCAGCCCACACCGCCCAGGCTCACCCCCATGGTCCAAGGTCTCAGGGGTTTCTTCGCAACAACTTCCCGCGGGAGTCCTCTGCAGCTCCAAGGGCACTGCCCTACTCTGACTTAAACAAGCGCTCGGGGCTCCGGGTTTTACATCTGGAATCACGCTCGGCTCAGGGTCAGCACGGAGCTCTTTGGAGACACTCACTGGGAGTTCCGAGTATAACTCCTGCACCGCGGCAGACATGGAGGGACCAAGCGGAGCTGGCTGAGTCTCCACTCCGGATGACAGCATCGGGGCAGATGCAGATTATGGAGTCAAGTCTTTTACATCAAACGGCTCACCCTGACACAAATCAAAGGAAGGGATAAAAGTTCAAAATCTTGCAGGGTAGAAGAACGCCGTCTCAGCTCAAACTGGCTAAAGCAAGGGCAAAAATGTCTGCCTCGCATGCCGGCATTATCTGGCACCAAAAAATCCTCCGTAATATGCCGTGACTTTGAGGAAAAAGAAATATCTTAAACCTTTAATAGACATCTGTCTAACCTCAATTCAAACACTACCTTCTGAACAGTTCTCAATTTAAACCTGACTTAAGTGAGACCTCATCAAAGGCAGACAAGAATTAGACACGTCTAAGCATTCAGGAAAGACGATATAAATTAGAAGACAAAGATGATTTTCATTTTGTTTCCAGGTCATGAACCCTGCCTGTTTCCTTCACCACTGTAACCCCACTACCTGGAATAGGGACTTGACACAGAAGCACTCGGGACATATTTGCTGAATCAATATGTACTGAAGAATTCTAAAGAATTTGATTCACTGACTTTTCTTCATTAAAAATTCTCTTTGAAAGAAGATACAGACAAAGCAGAATTCCACTCCTTTACTGCTTACCAACCACCTGCACAGTGTCCACGCGAGCTGGCACCAGGCACTGCCAAACCAGCTCTGGGTTCTACTCAGCACCTTGAGGTTTTCCAGGTGCCTTCAGACACCACTCATTTGATTATCATAGGTTCTTGGACAACCCCGTTAGCTAAGCAGGGCAGCTGTCATCTTCCTGTTATAGGTTCTAACCTGAAGAGGTCAAAGGGGATCTGCCTGAAACATCACATGATTCACTGAGAGGAGGGGGGACACCTGGGGCTTCCGCTGAGCTGCTCATGTTCCACTTCTTCACTGGGTAACGTAAACAGGGGTTATTTACTAAAATATGTATATATAAGTAGTTCATAATACTGTATTATTTAAGTAGTCAGAACAAACACACTCATACAGGGAGGGAATGGAACATGCAGAACTGGGTTTCCTGGCCGGTCACTTTTCCATCTTAATTTACCAAATGTGTGCAGTTTCCACCACAAAATCCACTTGACCTGACCAGGGTGGAAATGGTTAAAACCAAGTGAGATACTAGGCTGCACGCTTTCATTCTGACGTCTTCCCTGACCCTAGACAGGTGGGAGAAGATGAGAAATAACTGGCTTCTCAGAGTTCAAAATGAGGGCTCGTTGGAGGTACATCCCTTTGGCTAAAATGCATGTAGGAGAGGGAGGGTGTTTCAGACAACAGCTGATTCCTACTCCCCCCACTTCCTAACGTCCATCTTTCCCCCAAATAAACACATTACACACAAGGAAAATCCAGCACTGTGACTGCTGAGCTGTCACCTCCTTCCCCCAGAACACGAGCAGATTTCTGAGCAGGAGGGGCTCTCCCACACACCGAGCAGCTCCTTGCAACTCGGCGTCCTGGGTCCCTGTCCCTGATTATCGGGGTGGGGGGCACCCACAGGCGTCGCTTACACAAAGGCACATGCTCTGCCTCCAGGTCAGGAAGCACCCGCTCCACAAATACTCCTGGACTGACAACTGGTCCCCCTTGCCAGAAGGTCCCAGCGCTGACCTATGCTCTCTGGGCTGGGGCAGGGGGCTGGGAAGGGCAGATGACAGGTCCTCCTGTTCTGGACCCTTCTGCTTTTCTTCTGGTTTCCAACTCGTGGTGGATGGTTTATCCACGGTCCTATGCTTTCATCCACTGAGCGTCCTCAGTGTTTTCAAGGAGCCCTACTCAAAGATAAAAGGATATAACGCGCCACTACTAACTTAAACACTAGAAATTACAGGAAAGCAGACTGCTGGTCCCTGGGGTTAAAGTAACACAGGAGGGCTGATGAGGAAACCTGGACCCACGACAGAAGCCAGGGGAGAGAAGCTGGTGTGTATGGGAGGGTGGTGAGGATTCAAGCAGGGCAGAGAAAGGCCCAGCCCTCCCCTTTCTCCTCCAGCTCGTGGCACTTCCAGGGCTACTTCAGGTTTTAGGCCACTTTGTGTGTGTCTGAAGGGGGGTTAAGGGATAAACTGGAGTTGCTATTTGATGCCTCCTAAAGTGCTCAATTTGAATTTGGTTCAGTTTCTCTTTCCCATCGACAGACACAATCCAGCTCTGGCTGTCACACCACAAAGAGACAGAGAGTAAAGCAGGAAGGACCCCACAGAGAAGCAGGCTTGTGGATGGAGCGGGGCCCAGGGGGCTCCCCGCCCCCCAGGGTGCATGGTTCTCAAGCTTGGTCCTTGCACGCCTTCCTTCCCAAGCTTCACTCTTTTGACGCCCTCTCCTGTTCACGCAGCTTCTCTGCTAAGAGGATGGAAGACTCAAAACAGCCCCTGTAAGCACAGAGTGACCACGTGACCCAGCGATTCCACTGAGGAAAACGTGCAAAAACTACATGGCTGTTCTCTGCAGCGCGACTCACAGGAGCCAGGAAGTGCAAACAACTCAAATGTCCATTGACTGATGAACGGATCAACAAAATGTGGTCCTGCCACACAACGGAGTATTACTTAACTATGAAAGGAAATGATTCACTACACAACATGGATGAACCATGAAAATGCTACATTGTAAGAGTCCATTTATACAAAATGTCCAGAGGAGCCGAATCTGGAGTCAGAAGGTGGATCAGTGGTCGCTTAGCGCTGGGAGAGCTGGAGAAACAGGGAGTGGCTGCTGGTGGAACAGAAGTTCCTTTAGGGGCAATAAAAATGTTCTAAAATAGATGGTGGTGATGGTTGCACAACTGGGTGATTGTGCCAAACACCACTGGGTTGTACAATTTAAGTTGGCGAATTGTATGGTATATGAATCACATCTTAATAAAGCTATTTTAAAAAAAAAGAAACCTGTCCCTTGTTCCAACCTCTTCTCAAGTTGTGACCTATGTTTCACTCACAAGGATGGCACCCCCTCCTCCAAGTTAATGTGTCTAAAATAGAACCCATTCAACCCAGTGAAATAACTGAGTATTGCTGCGTGCAAACGGCCATGGAAACACAGATGAGTAAGACGCCCTCAGCATAACTGTCCATGCTTATTTTTGACCCCGTTGCCTCCATGAGTAATGGCAGCCCCCCTGGCCCAGAGCTCAGACTTGAAGCCCCAAATGTAAGGATATCTGACCTTCCACAGGCCACTCACTCAGCACTGGTACCCACGGACCCATCTCCAGCCATGTCTCCAACCAACCTCACTCCTCCATTCCCACGGCCCTAACTCAAGATTTTATTCTGAACACAGAATCGTGCATAAAAACACACTTACTGAACAGATCTTTATCACAAAGAGGCAGTAGTGATAATCATATGAAATGGCTCAGAACAGCCCTCAGGGAGAACAGTGCCGTCACCTCTCCTGTGCCTCCATCTACGCAGTAAACTGGTATCGACCAAAACGGAACTGCGGGGCTTTGGTCACCAATAGATAACTTGCAACTGACAGAAGTCAAATGTCACAGAGCTCCCATCTCTTGATACGTTCGTTTGGTGGAAACAGAACTCTAAGACTTTCCTCCCTGTAAAACAACTAGGCACACTGGCTGTGAAAGCAGGACACCCCCTCCTTCTTCTCCCAGCCTGAGTCTGGGTCTCTGGGTGCACAGGCTTCTCGGCAGTATGTGCAGTTGAGTCACCAAGAACAGCCAGCCAGGTTAGGAACCCGCAGAGATGAAGCACCACTTAGGTACAAGCCTAGAGGAGCAGAGTACAACCGTTCTCAGGGCAGTAGTTCACATCACTAAGCTCTCCTCTCAGTTTTCACCGTCTATTGGGATGCTGCTAATGCCATATACCTCTACGCAGAAAACTGCCTGGGATGTCTTATCAAACTAAATAAACATTGGGACTCTTTTTTTTTTGTAAAATATATATATATGGAGAGAGAGGGGGAGAGAGTGAGAGAGAGGGAGAGCGCGCAAAAATGTTTTAAAGAAGATAAGGCAAATATTAACAGTGTTACCCTGGGTCACGGGATCATGAATGACTTATCTGCATGTTGTACTCTTTTCTTCTATTACTGAGTATGTATTACATGCATTAAAGTTTTTTTTTAACTTCATATCTCAAGACTCAAATATGAAGCAATAAGGAATTGGTAAGTGTTAAGTATGACCCCTTTATTTTATCAGTATCTTTCCAAATGTCAGCTCTTTTCCTCAACCATAAGTTTTTACACTGAAGTGTTAAGTAAACTTGAATTAAGAGGAAACAGTGAGTAACACAAGTTTCTAAAATGCAGACAGGAATTTACAGTTTAATCCTTACTAATAACATAACTAACCTATTGGGTGAGGACACCAGATAGTTACCTAGTTTGAGGTATAAGCAAAAAATAACCATAGATTCACAAACAACTCTTTCCAGCTGCTAGTGGCTGGTCATCTTTACCATTAACAAAAATAAGAATTAGATTGTTTAGTGGATGGATCTATTCCTGGGGAGGGGAGACTAACATTTAAATGGAGTATGTAGCATAATTATTTCAATAAAAGAATAAATTCTTTTGAATTGAGAAGAATCAACTCCCAAACTCTCTGCTTCAAATGCAGGATCAGTGCTGGGAAGAAGTCCAGTTACCGGTCTCCAAACTGGGAGTCCAGGGTCCCTATCCTGCCTCTCATTTACTAGCTGCGTGGCCTTGAGTGTGTCACTGAACTATTCTTGGGTTTGTTTTTCACATGTAAAATGGACAAGTTAAACAAAATAATCTCAAAGCATCCTGCCACCCCCCAAAATGCCAAGACTCTAAATAACTTTTCCATTTCACTTTGTTTTAGCAAAGCACACCTACAGACGCCAACAATAGTGGTACAGAGCTCAGGCTAATCCCCACTGCAAGTACTGAAGGGCAAACAAGGCAATTTAAGAATGCTTTACATATGAAAAAGATAGAAAGCTGGTCTTTAGTGTGCCTTCAGGCATTTTGGAAGTTGTTAATTTCTATCCCACCAAATAACAAAAGCCAGGGGGAGGGTGGGGAAACCACCAGTCAAAGATTAACGTTGCAGCTCCCAACTCATTAGAATACAGTTTATAACACTAAAAACCTGACCATGTGGCAACTTTTACTTTAATCATTCAAATACTCCCCCAAACAAAAGTTCTAAGGGTACAAAGTTTACAGCAAAAAAAAAAAAAAGGAAAAAATAATCAAAGAAAACAGCAGAACAGAAAACCATGTGCCCCAATAATCCCCAATAATCCTGAGTCTGAAGATCTCCCCTCCCTCTAATTCCAAAGCAGTGGGGTTGCTCTTAATGAAACGGAGCAGTTACAACAACCCTGGGCACTGCCGCACTTGTGGGTCAGGGACAACACTCACGATAATGACCAGGCCCTCAGAAGTTCACAACACTCTTTTCACCTTGGGGAAGGGGCTTTCTTTTCCAAAGATTCAGACACTGTAGCCAATCCCTCCCTGAGGGAATTCGAAGAAGGGGCCTCTTCTTGAGGGACAGAGAAAGAAGAATCTTTTAATAAGACCTCTAGACAACCTGAGAGTGGGGCAGGGAAGCCCGTACACTAAGCAGGGCCCGGCCCTCCCACACAGGGTGCGCAGGAAACCTCAAAGGCACCAGGCACTGTTTCCCTTTACCTCCCTTCATGAGTCGGCAGAGAAAGGATCCCAGATGGGGAGTGAAACAGTAAAAATGCCCCTGATTTCTACTGACAAAGACTTGGCAGAAAAGATTTTCATTCCTTTTTCAAAGGAAGGGGAGGAAAGAAACCATCTGTGCCACTCTAAATATACAGCAGGAAAGAGTCCTCCTCTCAAAGGTCCAGAAGTCCTCTTTTCCTTGGGAGCGTGAGAGGAAGAAGTTGGAATTTCCATCTTCGGGGGAGGGGATGTGCGCAGACCAAAGGAAGCTTTTTCGCCACCAGAGCAAGTAGGGGAGTGGGAGAGGGCATCTCTAACCAGTCGGGAAGGAGTGATAGCTGCTGTGGACAAAGGAAAGGCCGACTTCTGGTATCAGGTCTTCCTCTTGGGAGTACAGACCTGTTTCCAAAAACAAAGTCTTTTTCTTGATTATTCTAATTGAGGCCCTCTTCGTTAATTTGGGAAGTATGGCTGTATCTAAGAGTAGAAGTGGCTCTTTTCTCTGCCGCAGGGGAAAAGTCTCCTCTCTTATGAGACAGTGATGGCGGGGTGGGGGTGGGGTGGGAGACATGCATGGAAAAATGTTTCTCTGTGGAAGATACTAGTTTTTTTTTAAACAAGTAATAGCAACAGTAACAATCTACCAAAAGGTTACTATGTACCAAGCACTGCACAAATTTTCCTTTAGCCCTCAGGACAATTCTATGAAAAGAGGACCCAAATTAGAGATGGGCTGACTGAGAAAAGGCTAAACCATTAGTCAAGGTCACAAAGATGGGAAGTGGGAGACACGGGCTTGCATCCATCACACGCCAAACGCCACGCTCTTCATTGTGCAAAAGGGAAAAGAACTCAAGGCACATCAAGAGACCTGGGGGGCGAAGCGGGGCTCCTTCGGTGGACACGACTGGGGGAGGGGAGGAAGGCTGACTTCTATTATCAGAAAGTAAATTCAGGGTCTTAGTCTCTGCATCTCGGGGCAAAGGTGAAAAATAAAACCGGGAAGGTTAAGTCCGCCTTTTACAGGGAAGGACGACCCCCCTGTCACTTTTAGGCAAATTGGGTCTTTCTCTCCTCCTGGGGGGTGCTGATCAAATCGAGAGAGACCTCATTCCTGCTGAAAATAAGTTCAGAACGGTCCCCTCGCGCCCCGGGAGCGGGTCTCCTCCGCGGACCAGAGCACTGGAGCTGCAGAAGAGCGTTCGCCCACGACGAGGGGCGACGCCCGCCCCGAGGAGAGAAGTTGGGGGTCCCCCGCCGGGTCGAGGTCGAAGGAGTATCTCTCTCCCCAGTCGAAGCCACGACTCGGAGACGCCGCTTTCCCCTCGCGATGCGGGGCCCGGTCTCCTCCCTCTCCCTGGGTCGCTCCGCCGCCCGTAGCGCAGCCTGCGTTCCCTTCGGCGCCCTGAGTGGGCGGGGGGCCCGGACTCCCCTCAGCCTGCACCGCCCGGCGGAGAGTCCGCTCAGGGTGGAGTGGGGCTGGGCGGCTACGCCCGAACCCTTCCCGCCCCCGGTCTCTTACCCTGAGACCTGCTCCGCGGCCCGCGCTCGCCCCGCCAGCCCGGCCTCTGCAGCCGCAGCCCCGTCGCCGCCAAGTCTACCTGAGCCTGCGGAGCCGAGAGCTCGGGGGCGCTCCTGCCACCGCCGCCTCTTCGTCTCTATGGTCTCCCCGCACTTCCTCATCCGGGGCCCGAGCCAGCCATGCGGGCTCGCCCAAGTCCCGCCCCCGCGACGCGCGCGCGCACTCCTAGGTGAGGCTCTTCCCGCTTGGGACCTCCCTCCCTCGGCTAGCGCACGCGGCCCTCTGCCCCACCCCTAAAGCCTGGGCTCTTAAAGGGGAACACACCTTTGGACTCGTCTCCTGCTGAGCCTCCCGCCCAGGATCTGACTCCACTGCTACCACCCTGGTCCCGTTCGTTTTTCTGGCCGAATGGCTGCAGTCCTCCGGGCCTCCTAGCTTCTGCCCTGGCAGTCCAGGAGATCTTTTTATAACTGGAATCAGTGTTTTAGATCATCATTCCCCTGCTCCTTCTCCTTGTAACAGCATCTTGTTTCAATTTCTTCGTAGCTGTAACACTGGCTGAAATTGCCGGTTCATTTATTTATTGACTTATTTATCATGTCCCTCCTACCCTTGTCTGTTCTGTTTACAGAACATCACCTAGCGCAGTGTCCTGCACAAGCAGACATTCAACAGATACTTGAAGGAAGGAAAAGAATATTTATTCAAGGGGGAATTGAGAAGGTCCAGAGAATGCAATCAACTTGCCCCAAAACACACAGCCTTGTGTTAGAAATTGGTGGTTTCTGACTAGAGAGCTAAAGTTTGAAGGTTCTGGGGGATTTTAATTCTGTCTTTGAACCAGTCAAAATGTGGACCATTTTATCTGAGATAAGTGTTGTCCCAGCTTTAGTTAGGGGCTGAAGATATACAAACCCAAAGGCTAGCTCCATTGTTTACAGCCTGTCCATATATGGTCCACATACATACACAGTTCACATATAGGATAATACAGATGCTGTTGGGATGAATCAACTAAAAATTCACTTTAAAACATTTCTACATTTATCATACTCAAGTCCTCAAGTTTTTTCTTAGGCAACTACATGCTTATAGAAGGGGACCTGAGAAACCCAGTATTACTGGTTTGTCTTTTGCCTCAGGCGCTAATGTGACTGCATACACAGCACCATTGTTGATTTCATATTTATTTTTAATGATATTTATTTAAAAATGATATTTTGTTCTTCATAGATTTTTTGTATTATTCTTATTTCAAAAAATAACATAATTATTTATCTTGCTGAGTTTTTCGGCACCCCTTTAACATTCTGTGCCCTAAGTAACGCAAGTTTCTCATTAGCCTCATCCACCGCACCCTGGTCCTAGCCTTGCTCCTAGCTCTGTTTTAAGCACAAAAGGATCCCGAAGAAGTATCATATATATCATTCAACCCCCTAAAAGTTGAGGAGAGCCAGTTTCCTGACAAATTCCACGCTTTTGGTGAGTCAATAACACCCTAAATGTTAACATGTCCCTTGTGAAGGAGGAAGAACACATAGTTTTTATTCCCAGCGGTCAGGGGAGAACAGAATTACCTTGTGCAAAGTCACACAGCTAAAAGCAGACAGTCCTGCAGGGCGTTGGAGCACAGGACTGTAGAACCAAAAGCATCGGGCCCCCAGCCTGGGAGCTCCCGGCGCCAGCCTTCTGTAAACGTTACCGGCTTTAGACAATTTTTAAGATCTCAAAATTTGTCAAGATTTTTTACAAATTTTTGCCTGATTGGAAGGTGAAATAATTGCATTTCTAAGTTATGACAGCAAAGATGGACATCTCTCAGGAGGACTCAAATTCCCCAGGGAGGGAGAGTCCCATTAGCTGTGTGAGAGGGAAGGACTTCCCACCAGCCACTGAAAAAACAGCCTGGGGGATCTGGGCTTGTCTCTCGAACTGGCAACGTAAAAATGTCCTTTACATTTAACGTTTTATCCCTGAAAATCTTGCAACTTTTGCTGTCTGCTTGATAACTTGCTTTTCTTTACTATTAAAGATTACAATTATTTCTTTATATCGAATCCTGAAATAAAAGCACAGGTGCTTATGGAAGCTCTGGCCGCAGTCCACTCCCCTACCCACTCCCCAGTCTCTGTGGTATGCGATGCTTCTTTCAACATTCACAAAACTCCTGAAAACCGTAGGTCAAGCAGCTGGAGCTGGCAACTTGCCAGGAGCCCTCGGCCATCTTCAGGCACTGCCCACAGAGCTCTGATTTTTTTTTTCCCTAAGAAGATGTCCCGACAGGTATGGGCTTAGTCTGAGTCCTTGGTTGAGACATGAGGTTGCTGGTTAAATGCTCAGCCTTCGGAGCCAGGTTGGATCCAACTGGGTCAGGATCCGTCCTTGCTTCCTTCGGAGGAGTTTTTCGTATCCTCAGCCTGTTTCCCTGTCTGTGAAATAGGATAGCACCTGCCACCTCCTAGGGAAGCCTGTGAAAGTTACGGTAGCTATTTCTAATAACCAGAGAGGCACGCAACGCCACTCGGGGTTTGGAAGTCTCTGACGAGGCCCCCAAGGCGGATACTTTCCAGCGTCGCACTAGGTCTCACGTGCTCGGTCCTTTGCATTTTACAGAAGTTCTCCCAGAAACCCTATTTTGTGCATCTCAGCAGCCCTGTGAGGTCAGGCGAGGGACCATAACATCGTTTACTGATGCGGGGACACTCGCCCGAGTTGGCCCTGCTGGGGACGTTACTAGGTAGCAAGCGAACCTCCTGGGCTCGGATCTGTTTCGGAACTTCTGGGACGAAACGGATTTCCCTTCTGGGAGGGGCGGCCATCAGGCTCGGGAGCGGGAAACGCCGGGAATGCGGAGAGGAGGTGGGGCGGCCCGACCCGCAGGCCGCAAGCGAGGCCCCGCCCCCGGCGCGAGCCCCGGATGGGGAAGTGGCGCGGACACCGAGACGAGGCGGAGGCCGGGCCAGAGCGGCCCGGGGCGAGTGGGCGGGAAGGGGGTGGTGCCCCGGGG